GTTGTGCGTCTCACTTACATCATAAATGCATATAGATTACATACATGAAAGCCTTACTTTAGTTAAAAATCCACATTAGCACTTGCAATGTCCATCTGCCATAGCATAGACCAATTTTTTGTACACTCTGGGGATTGTAGTCTGTTTGCTGCAATAGCCTATATGTGGGCTAGGAATGTTGTAAAGTGTGCTAACATAATTGTGTCCTACTCCTACTTTTTCGGTGTTGTGCTAAATTATTATGTTTGATTTCAGGGGTTGATATATGAGGGTGTTCTAAGCTTTTTAAATCAAGAGCATCTTATTAGATCTATTCCATAAGAACTCCCTTTGGTAAAAGTTACTTCTCTGCTTCACACCAAATACAAGTCAAATGCAAAATGAGGAGACATGATCCGATAATGAACATTTAGTTGTCTAATACTCCATGTTAAGAGAATTGCTTGGTATAGCTTTTAGGAATATCTTTTGTTTCCTTGGCTTTGAATGCTGTGACTGATTATCAAAAGTTGCAATATGTGGAATAGATTGAAACTGGGATGAAGCTATTCGGCACCATCGCCACACACATCATACAGTCTATTAAGTTTCTTCACAATAAATCTGCTTCATATCTCAATGGAAACCTCAAAGTGTAAAGTTTTGAGAAACTATTGAGGTTGATAAATTTAAGACATCTTAAAACACAAATGTTGTCCACTGACAATTTATATATTGATGTCTAAATGTATAAAATATTAAAATTAGCAATTAGCAATTTGTGTCAATAGGTCAAATATAATATATGTATATATATTTTGTCAAATTTACTAAACAATCTTTATTAAAATTTTAAATTGTATTATTTTTGTATCTTTTTATAGATTGTTTTCATATCTAGTTTTCATATTAAATTTAAAATTGTGAAGTTTATTTGCAAGTTTCCTTTAAGTTCTTGCAACTCATGACAATGGATTAATGAACCTCTCCCAAACTTGTACAATGTTTAAGCTTTAATCTTTCTAGGCTTAAGAGTTTAGTTAAGTTTGGTGTTTTTATAGGCGAATTGAATCACTTAGATAAAGTATTTTCGGCTTGTGGAAAAACTGTGTTACGGACATAGATGAAAATAGAAAAATATAAAAAAAAATCAGTAGTAAGAAAAAAAAAATACAGAAAGTACGTTATAGAAAAGTAATTTTTTAAGTTTGGATAAAGAGTGTCACAGAAAATATAAGAAAAATGAAATCTTAATATTTCAATAAATGGCAAGGTTAAAAATTTATTTTGAAAAGTTAGACGTTCTTTTTAGAAATTAAAAAAAAATGTAAAGTTCAACCGAAAGGGAAAAGTATTTATTTTTTAAAGTAAAAAGAAATTTGTCCCTAATACATTCGTACTGTTGAATTTGAAACAAGGTGAAACGTGAAAGTCGTTCAGCAACGGAGCTCAGCTCAGCAAACAAAAATGGAAAATTTTCATAAAAGAAAAAAATAAAACAAAATAGAAGAACTTGAACTAAGAAATGGAGAGAAATGAAGAGAATAGGAGAATGTATAGAAGAACTAACAAAGTTCACTCTCCAATCCCACATCAACATATCCCTCAATTTTGAACTACGCCTCTCCCCTGAATTCTGCCCCAACCTCCTATTCGATTCCCACACCGCCGATCCTAATCCACGTAAGACTACCCAAACCTAAAATTTTGCTTTCGTATTCTTTTACATGCCCAAATTCTTAACTTTCTCTGATAATCTCCACCTTTTGGTTGTTCCAAGAAAAAGGGCCTAAAAGAAACGAAGAGAAACGCTAAAAATTGTGCCTATACCAAAAAAATTGAATCTTGATTGTTAGAGGATTGGTTATTATAGCAAATTTTACCCATTTGATAGAAGCATAATTTTTTTTTCCTTTTCATAATGGAATGGTTTAGATATTTTGAAAGGAGTTCCTTCATACCCTTTATACAAGCATTTGGCATTGGCTTTGCACCAATTCATAGTTTCCAGGTTCATTTGCAATAGACAAGGCAATTCAGCATTAATGCACGATGCAATTTCTATGGAACAGAAGGAAGAGTGGAATAATTTGGTTTCAAATAAGCGACTTGAATTGATTAAAGTTAGTTTGTCTTTGTTGATGCTGTTCTTTTTTTCCCTTAGATTTATGACTAATGATTTGTTTTCTTGATAGATTATGAATGATATAGACTTTGGATTTCTTGTTCAAGAGCCGTTCTTTTCAATGTTAAGAGGTAATTTTTGGTTGTTTTTATACTTTACCAATGCCCTTATTCCTTTGTCATTATCTAAGCAATTGAAATTTGACATTCTTCGCAGATGGCTTGAAGACAATTGAAGGAAGGTGTGCAGTTGATGAATACAATAATTATGTCCTAGTTTCCTTGCATGACTGTTATTTCTTTTCTTCAGCGCCTATATATTAAACTTGTTCTGTACAAATTGATTTTTTTTGGGCAACCTATTCAATTTTAAGGTCCTTTGTTACTTAAGGACAATCTATTCAAGTTGACTGCCCGCCACCCCTTTTTATTCAGTATTGGTTCCCTGGTATCTTCATGGAAACCTAATTGATTTTCAATTCTTTTCCTTTTGATAATTAACTTATTTTTTACTCATATATTAATAATTTATTTATTTTAGTATTGAACCAGGTTCTATGATCCTTTTTAATAAATGTCTGGTGCTTGCAGTTCAGGTGATCTAATGCTTATGCCTTACATTCCATGTTTATGTTCTGAGTTGGGCATTCTAATTTTCTCAAATTTCAGAATGTTCGTTGTTATGATACATTTTCTAAGATGTTAGAAGCTGAAAGCCTTTCTCAAGTCCTTCCTGAAGTTAAATCCACTGAAGAAGGTAATGGCAATTGATGTTAACCCATGATTGTCCTTAGATCAAGTTTAGTTGGGTTTCTGTCATATTGATTGAGTTTCAAAACCCTTGGATTCTGACGCAATTCCAGATACTTTAGTGGGACTATTATACTTAATGAGTGCCATTGTGGTAGCCTCCTTCATTGATTCTATGACCATGAAAAACAATACCCTATAACAATGACTATGTGAAAGGAATGGTTTACAGGATAGTTTCAAGAGCTGCATGTTGTCACCATCATTCATGATTACAAAGATAAGACAGTTGTTCCTTGTGAAAGTACAACTTAATATTGCTGTAGAAAGAAAAGTTAATGGAAAACACAAAACAGTTTCATAGAAAATGTTGAAATCCAAGAACTGACATTACTTTAATGGCTGTATCCCATCTCATTAGAATCTTGCAGCATGATCTGAAACTTGATTAATCGTGAAAGTATAAAAGAGAAGCCGGCGAAAAAAAAAAACCTTAAATAGAAAATATTAGACACCCAAAATGAAAAAGAGAATCACTCCTATAATGCTTTCAGACAGAAGAAAGCATGAGATCAATATCGTCCTAACATGTTAAAACAAGAAAATGGGCATTGCGACATTCAATTTGCAGGTTCATTTGATAATTTTTTTCCTCTTTCAAATGGGCATGTTAACCAAAATAAAAAGGCAGGGCAGAAACAACTCCAAATCTTCCCTTTGGGTCAAAAATGATGATATAAGGATTTGTCTTGTATGGATCTTAGCTTTGGGTTGAACAATGAGGTATCAAGTAGTTTTGGAGTTTGAAAAGAAATTCCTTTTGCTTGGCAACCTTCAATTGACATAAAGATCTAATTGCATAAAATCCACCCAAAACTTTTCGACATTCCCAACTACTACCTCAATAGGATTGGAGTTAATAAAATGGATTGTTCTCATCATCTTTTTATGAGCAAGCTACTTAAAGATGGAACTTGGTATTGATGAACATAAAACAAATTCATTTATAGTTAATTACATCATTAGTTCAAAGAGTTTTGAATCTTCCGATACTACCTACACACCATGACTTTTCTATTTCTTTTTTTTTTTTTTGTAATTTTAATGAAGTTACATAATACAAAATAAGAATTACAAGCACAATCAAATAACACTCAATGTATTTCGAATAGTACATATATGAAAGTAAAATTAACAAGCAGACCAAACAAATAAATCAACCAAACAAATCAATATATAAGTAATCCTCATTTGGAGTGACTTACAGCATCAGAATTGAATGCTATTATTTTTTGAATCTAAGTACAGCTGGAGCATCAAGTTTCACTCTATTATGAGCCTTGAAATAATCTGTCCTAAGCTAATACATTAAAAAATTGAAATGAAAAATTAGGGGCGACCAAAAAATGAGAAAGGGAGGAAGACAAAATAAATAATATCACCTCAATATTATTTCATTAGTTCCCATTAATCAACAATTACAAATGGATTTCAATCTGTGAAATAGTATGTGAAATAATATGTATAAAAATTAAAAATTAAAAAATAAATGATTCCAACTTCATTTTTATTAGCTTTTATTTTATGATAAAATACATCACTTTATCATTTTATTCAACCGTGATTAAAATTCTAACCAATGTTAATATTTAATAAAATAAGCAAATAATTAGATCATTAATTTTAGTCACGGCACGAAAACGATAAAAAATAAAAATAAAAAAGGGATACAAATTAAAATATTGAAAAAACAAATGTGAATTTGATGAAAAAAACCAAAAACAAATATACATTTGTATTTGATTTAGCAATTCGAATTATGATACAATAATTTTTTTATTTTATTTGTATTTAACATGAAATAAATACAAAAAATACATAAATTACTACATCTATAAATACCCAAAACAAAATAATAAATTTTGAAAAACAATCCATCCATTTATACATTACCAAAATTAGCTTTCACTTTTTTTAAAAAAAAAATTTTAACAAAGCGAAAAGCAAAAATATTAAGTGAAAAAAAAAAAAGAAAAAAAGACAGTAATGAAGTGATATGTCAATTGCTTAAATTTAGCTAAAAGATTTAATTTTAGCTTAACCTGTGTAAGCGATGGAAGGTTACTACATGCCTGAACCTGATTTAATCAAATCAGACGTCCATCAATCCTAATATTTCCAATGTGAGCAATATTTGGCCAGTCCACACCAATATCCCTTTGGCATCTTTCCCATAGCTGGGGACATCCCCAAATACTCAATTCTTGTAAAGAGGTGAGAAAGCGCATCCCTTTTGGCATTGATGTCAAGTTACTGCATCTCTCAACAGACAGAGACTGAAGAGAAGTTTGGTTTTGCAGAAACTCCTCTCGCAGAGAATCCAGATCTTCCATCTCTTCAAGCCTCAATTCTGTCAATTTGGAGAAAGGAGGGAAAAGTGAAGAAGACGAAGAAGATGATGGTTCTTCTGATGTTGTCATCTTCAACTTCAATGTCTGTTGGAGTTGCTTCCAGCTGCTTCTTTTCAAATACAGCTTTGTGACTGAAGGATACAGCGGCATAGATATTAGATTAATAGGGCAGCTTTCTATTCTTAAATCTGAAAGGCAAGGAAAGCAAGCCAGCTGTGCATTTGAAGCTTCATCAACATCATCCCTCCAACATCCCTTAAGATTTGGGCAATTCATGAGTTCGAGTTCCTCTAAAGATGGAAAAAATTTTGTTGATTTTGAAGAAGACAACTCCTTTTGCTTTTCAATCTCTGAAACATTCTCCAAAGCTTTTAATCCTGAAAGCCTAAGAAATTTGAGGGAAGAGAGCTGATGCAATGGTGGCAAATGCTTGCATTCAACACAATCTTCTAAATTAATAGAGTTAAATTGGTGATGGAAGACAGCCAGCTTGAAATCTTGCTTCCTGGATACCCATTCACCTTAAGCTTCTTAAGATTTGGGTGTGGTTGGAGGCGTTCAAAAACCAATTCAGACTTCTCATTACTTGCATCATCATCCTCCTCATCATCATCACTCCAGCTCAATTTCAAGTGTTTCAAATTCAATTTTTCTTTCAAGTAAGAAGATCCAGGCTCTGGAATAGCATTTTTTAAAGAAGAAATACGTATTTTTCCTTTGAGGTTGTTCAGTCCTGTCAATTCCCTTAACTCACCAACATCCTTGCCTCTCTTTCCCACAATAAACTCATTTAACGTTCGCAGACAAGTTAGTTGCCCCAGTCCACGTGGCATGTGAGCCAAACTATCACAACCATCAATATATAGATATCTGAGGCTAACTAACATTCTTGTTTTCCTCGGCAATTTTTCAAGATCGGAGCTACCAGAAAGACGTAATGTTTGCAAATTCTGTAGCCTACACAAAGAACTAGGCAGTTTTTTAATATTTTCATTTCCAACAAGGTAAAGACCCCTTAAATGTTTCAATTTGCCTATGGAATGTGGTAACCTCTCAATACCTGAGTAACTCAAATTCAAAGAGCGTAGGTACCTAAAATTAGAAATAAGTGCATTGCAAATGGATTGATTCAAGATGCCATCCGGAAGAGATAACGTCCTTAGTCTATTTGCTTTGAGCAAAGTGGTTGGAATTTTCCAAGAAGCATCAGCTTCATCTTCAAAAAACACATGGCGAGTTCTTTCATCTACATTTTCTGCTTCTAGACCTGCAATGCAGCACTCAGTCCCAGCAACAAAGCATGCAAGATCATGCATTAGATCATGCATTGTGAAACTCTCCACATTTCCTGAATCATCTTCTTCTGCAACTTGAAAAAAAGATCTCCAAAGTAAATCCATGAATACTCATGCCCAACATCTTCTAGATCTTCGTCTCCGCATTGTGGCTGGAGAAACCCTTGGTGCATCCAAAATTTGATCAATTGTTTCACCTCCATCTCTGAGTCCTTCGGAATTAAAGAGCAAAAAGCAAAACATTGCTTCAAATGCGGTTGAAGATGATCATAACTCAACTTTAAAATTGGCATAATGCCACTTTCTGGTCGAGTTATATACTTAACATTATTATTCTTCACCTTTAACCATTCTGCTTCTGTTCTTTTAAATAGTACACTTCCTATCACCCTTAAGGCAAGAGGGACCCCTTTACACTTCCCTGCGATCTCCATTCCAATTTTTTCAAAGTGTGAACTGTTGGATTCGTGGCTTTGTTCTTTAAATGCCATTTGCTTCAGTAGTGACCATGATTGGCTTTTTGACAATCCTTTAAGCTCATGTGGCGAAACTGTACCTGTGATTTCTGCAACCCGGCTACTACGAGTGGTGATAACAATCCAACTTCCCCTTGCACCTCCTAATAGCAAATTTCTCAAATTGCGCCACTTTTCAGATTCGTCATTCCATACATCATCTAGAACTAGCAAGTACTTCTTTCCATTAATCTTGCCTCGAAGAATATTTTGCAGTGTTTGCATCTGAAGGTCGTTTTCAGGTTTGCTTCCAGTTGCAGCCTCAATGATTTTTTCCACAATGACTTTTAGCTCAAACTTCTCCGAGACACAAACCCACATTTTTAGCTGGAAATGTTTCCCAACGTTTTCATCGTTGAACACCATTTTAGCTAATGTGGTCTTTCCTAACCCTCCAATCCCTATTATGGGAACAATTGAAACATTTTCTTCAAGTTCGGATTGTAGCAGCAGTTTTACAAATTTCTTTTTATCATCATCTCTTCCAATTATTTCTTCTTCAGGCACAAAGGAATGAGTTTGATCCCTCTCCTTAAGTTCAAGCAGTGACTCTATGGGGCGGTCAGTAAAGTGAAATTTGGCTCTATCAGCTGCAATCTTATATAGCCTCTCTCTAATGGCTTTAACTCTATGACCCATCTGGAGACTATATGCAAGCTGGTTTGATTTGGAGAAGAAAATGCGTACCTTTTTCACCATTTCATTCCCGGTCATTATCTTTCGCCGCAAAGCTTCAGTGGAAAAATCGTCAAGCAAGTCATCCACATCGTAAAGCACATGTTTGAGCTGTCCGAGCCAGACTGTCACTTCATGGTTGTTGTTTCTTTGTTGCTCCTCCGTATCACGAAGCACACCTTTTATCAAGGAAACAGTGTGGTTGAGCTTGCTGATTTCTGCTTTGACTCCCCAAGCCAAACCAAGTTCTTGGTAAGCCAATGATGCCAGACCCCCCAAGAGATTTCCAGCCAAATCGCACAGGATGCCTTCTGCCATTTCTTGATTTTTTTCCTTCGCAGCAGGAAACACTAATCTCCAATTTTGTTTTTTTTAAGAAATTTCAAATGGTTATGAAAGTGCAGATGAGATAGCTATGATCCAAGGCATAGTTTACAGTCAACGTCAACGCAACTCCAATACTGAATACTAAATTCTCTAATTTCTTATGATGCATGATGAGCCACGTCAATAGGGAATTATTACAAGAAAATTGTTGAAGCTTAATATGATATCCACATGATTAAATTTGTTTTCAAAATTTATTTTTTACCTCAACAGATTAAATTTGAAGGATTAAATCAAGATCTATCATCACCAACTAGATAAATTTTGTCAAACCACCTTTACCTTTCGTCCTTCTCTCCCTCTTTTCCAATTTCATTTTTATTTTAAAATCATGATAAAATATACTTATAGATTTTTATTAGTTATTTTGTAAATAATATTTCTTTTCAATGAATATTTACTCTGGACAATATTAATTATCGTTAGCCCATTGCCCTTATTCCTAACTTTTCCCCCTCAAATAATTGTTGGGGGAATTATTGATGGGATATTGGTCTCTCAAATAATTATACTCCTCTCTCCTCGATCACCAATCAACCCATCTCATCTCCTCCAATGCCAGTAGTAAGAAATCAAAAAATACTCGAACAAACTTCTTTCTCTTTGTATTTTGTTTGCTGTTCAATTTTTTTTTAATTACATTTCTTGGGATTCATTTCTTTGTACTTAAATTTATAGCAGATGCCCCAAGAGTCTCTCTAAATCCTTTATACATATAGTTAGCATTGGCCTTGCATGAAATCATCACATTTGGATCACTTCAAGGGTCATCTAAGTGTAGCAAATTGGCATCATTCTGTCAAGGCAGTGGCTTAAATCTGAAAGAATAGTGGTTTGACTTTGTTCATCAAAAAGTATCAGAATTAAAGGAGTATGTCCTTCTGATGATGATGGCATTAATTTTAACTATTCCATTTGTATCTTCATAGTTAATGTATTTGTCTAATCATTGTATTCCATCAGATTTTGAAGAGCATCAACTTTAGAATTTATATTCAGGAGCTTTTCTTCACTCAACTAAAGGGTATTATTTTGTTCCACAAATATTTGTGCTAATGATTATGCTCTTCTGTTTCTTATTGTTTTCTTTAGTTTTTGTATCAGAAATTATTGCATTCTTTATTTCTTTGCATTAGTAGTTTTCCTTTTCCAATAGCTAAGTTGGGCAGGGGAATTTGAACTTTGGACCTGCCTTTTCTAGCTAAGGTGAAACTGTAGTTTCATTATTTGCTCTTTATCGTTACCCCTTTAGAAGTAATATATTGCCATCTACACATTTTCTTTGTAATATTCTATTCAAGCAAAGACTTTTTTCCTAGTAATTTGGTATTTTTTGCAGATGGCCTTGAAACAATAGAGGGAAGGTGTACTGTTGATGACTATGATCAGGGATTTAAATTACGATAACAATCATATTTTTAGTTGCATCGCATTTGTTATAATTGTGGATATAATGGAGACCTTCACAATTATTGCAGCTATCACGATCATGAATTTTTTAAAGTTTTGCTTAACTTGCTATAAAATATAATAATTTTAACTATTAATCATAAAACTTCTTATTTTATGATTTTTAAAGTAATTTATATCATATCATGTATTTTATTTATTTAAAAAAATATTTATAGTAAAATATTTATATTTAAAAAATAATTCATATGATAGTTAGAAAATAACAAGAGATAAATAAACATGTGAAAAATAAATAATCATAACGAATGATATATTTAATTATTTAATTACCGTACTCATCAAATTATCACCAAATTATATTATGCATAAATTAAATAATAAGTGCTTAGATATCCATAAATTAAGTAAGAGCATTACAATTTATTGGCCAAGAGAATTGCTTTTTATGGGCTTACAATATATCAAACTTGGTAGCCTCCATGTTGTGGGCAATCTTCAGCAACAATAGCCTCAAGTCTATTTCTTCTGCCTCTTGACTAAATTGCACAAACCCACATAACTTCTCATCCCCTCACCTTGCATTCAATAATTTTTTCTCCAAACCTTCATCCTCATCCCCATCTCTCAGCTTTTTTTTTTTTGTGTGTACCATCTGCTCGTCTCCATCAACCTCAAGTCTCACTCTCATCTCTTGTCTTTGATTTTAAGTCCCAGCAACTCCTACCCCTTCTATCAATGTAACATAGCCCAATCCAATCCCAAACACACAAAATCATAGAAAATTTGGAAATTAAAAAAAAAAGTAATTTGAGTGCTGAGTTAATTGCTTACCTTAAACTATATATACTTGATATTGATTGAAGTTGAATTTGAAAGAATTGATATTTTTGAAAGTTTAAGTTTTGTGGGTTTTTTTTTCTGAATTTGTAAATTGATTTTTATTTTCTTTCTTGCTGTTTTTATTTTAAGTTTTTAAATAGAATCAAGTGAAAATTTTTTTCTTAAATTTTTGAATGAAAAACAGCAAAGTGGACAATAACGGACCGCTATTGCCGTTATTTAACATTATGTTGCAATTTGCAGCTGCAATACGTCTACTATAGAGAAGATTCAAATTCTCCCTTGTTTTTTTCTTCAATTGTAATGGTAGATAGTGGCGCAACCGCAAAATAGTGGCCGTTATACCGCTATCCAACCGTTATTTAAATCTTTGACTATAACAGGTATGCCTCACCTTTAGGCATTTGTATGAATCTGGTGTTGTGATCTTTCTTCGTATTTGCTTCGTTTCATCCTCAGAAAACCCTGGGAAGACTCTGGAACGAAAAGCAAAAAAGAAAAAAGAAAAGTAATGCTTTGATCAAAATTGCATCCAGAGATTTGATCCTCTTCAACAAATGCTTAATTCTTGAAATTCAGATAAAAGCAAGTCTTTTACTAATTACCTATGTTTTTTTTTCTCTCTTAACTAGCTAGCTTCTTTGAACATTTTCATTTGCCAGGATGTTCACTATTATGCTTCATTCTTTGAGATGTTGGCAAAAAAAATTCCAAAGGTCCTTTCTGGAGTTAAACCATAGATGGAGGTAATAATTTTATACATTGTAGACTGAGCCCTATTATATGTGAGGTTCAAATTTTATGTGGTATATGTTGTAATGCCTTATGTCTATGATTCCATGCTATGATTTTTTTCATTTACATTTATTTTGTCTCAAAAGATCAATGAGGAAAATTTGAACTTTTGGATGGATCAGAAAATTTCAAGTGTTTTATTCATCATACTTGGGCATCATGCAAACTGATGAAATATTGCTCTTTCAGGCATTCAAATTCACAGAAGTTTTACTTAGAAGAGAAGGAAATGACCAATGGTGTAGTTGCAATTTGTGTGCCTTTCATTAGCCAAAATACCATCTGTGTGTGGGCGAACTCTGTCCTGCTTTCATTCATGCCTCTAACTGCACGCATATGTGAAATTCAGTGTCTTATATTAAGGGGAAAACTCTTTCCAGCTAAATAAAGTTCATTAACAAATAATAAGAATCATAAAGGGGCAAATTTTTTATTAACTGCTCAAACAAAAAAGCTTCAAATGTAAACAACCCAAAATGAAAACTGCGACCTTTCACTCAAAATAATACCATACCTATAAAAATTGAAAATGGAATGTTTTGTCCTTTTCAAGTGGTCTCCTATTGACCTAGTGAAACATGTGACAGTTTTTTAATTTATTTGTTAGGTTAAAAAAATTACACTATTAATGTATAAAAAAGGAACTCAATCAAACAAATATGCCTATTTTGTTTCTTTAACGAAGTTATTACAAAATAAAAATTACAAAAACCATCAAATAATGTTCAATATTTATTAAATAGTACATATATGAAAGAAAAATCAATAAACAGACCAAACAAACACATAAATCGAACAAAATTAACATAAAATTGGATTAAATCCTCATTTGGTGGAACTTACAGCATAAGAATTGGATGATTTTAATTATTGGAACAAGGGCAGCTGGAATATCAAGTTTCACTTTCATCTGGGCCTTGAAATAATATGTCCCAAGCTGATACATTGAAAACAACATAAATAATTTCACCTCAACATGCTTTCATTAGTTCCTATTAATCAACAACTACAAACAGACTTCAGTTTATGAAATAGTATGTGACATAATAAGTATGATTAAGAATTAAAAATTAAATTAAATTAAAATAGATTATTCCAACTTCAGTTTTATTAACTTTTATTTTATGATACACATTATTTTATTATTTTCTTCAAGCCAATCAAACATGATTGAAATTCTTACCAATATTAAACATCATAGAAAATAAGTAAATAATTAGAATAAAATAATAAGAGAACAATTAAGAAATAATATATAAATTTTAAAATTTTGAAAAGAAAGTGTGAAGCTGAAAAAAAAAAGGATGGGCCCCATCCATTTACACATTAATAGTTACTTGTCTGTTTTTTTTTAAAAAATTATTTTATGTTTTATAAGTCATATTATATATATATATATATGTGTGTGTACCATAGTTGACCAGTGTTATTCATTTTTACATTAATTATTTATTACATTGAACATTACAAAAATAGATTTCGCTTGGTGGAACTTACAGCATCATAATAAGATGATACTAATTCTTGAAACAAGGGCAGTCAGAGCATCAAGTTTCTCTCTGTGTTATGACTAAATCCGATTTTCTTAATAGATAATTATTTTCTTTCACTCTTTATAAAAAAAATTAATACATATTCTAATTTCTAAGTCCTAATAAATCTAGGGAGAATATATGTTCTCCCTAGAGCTGTCAAAAAAATTTTCAAAAATAAAAAGTTAGTAATATTTTTTATAATATGATTAAGAATATATATTTTAAAAATATTTCAAATTTTGCTTGAATTTAATTTTTCAAAAATTTGAGTTACGTTATTTGTTCATAAAATTTATTTCAAATATTTGTAATATATAGTTATTGAATAGATTCAAAATTAAAATTTTTTTATATGAAATTCCCCTATTACGTACCCATAATCATAACCTTCTCCAGATGCCTTTCACAAAACTTTT